TGATAGTGGTGATGATGAGTAAATAGTTGGTATGTGTGACTTAGTCTCTACGTGTTAAATGTTATTTTAATTTGTAATAAGTGCTTGGATTTCTTTCTGCAATATCAAGGATGAAATACAATAATTGAAAAGAGTCAATTTCAAGTTTTTTCTTCTTGATTTTTTATTGTTCGGTATTATTACCAATCACGTGATAAAGAAATTTAATTGTTTATTTGGTTGCATTTGTTGAATGCGTCTTTTTAAGCTTATAATAATTATTTCGGTTTTTTTGTCTTGTTTACAAATTTTTTGGTTTTTTAGGTCATTTTGTTGAAAGCCTTTTGCAGAATCGGATTCTTCATGGGGTCTGTGGTGCAAAGGAAAATTGCGCTTCTCGGATATCCATGTGTAGGTGGGTAGAATTTTGGTTGTTTCATCATATGAGAATGGCTTTTTAATAGTCTTTGCTTATTAACAGAACGACTGCTTTGGTTAGGGAAGTTTAGAAAGTGTAGTTTGGAGCTTTTTTGCTGTGCGTTGATATTAAAAACCATGCTTTTATTCTTCGTTCCCAGTTATTTATCAAGATTGCTTATATATGAACATCGTTTAGGGTCTGCGTCGAGAGTGGTTTATCATACGTATGTAAGAGATGAGCTTACTATCCTTTTATAATTGTCTTTTTCCAGAACGTTTTGCAAATCTTTTATTCTCACACCTATATTTGGGTTTTTTATTTTTAGTTTCAATGATTTTGGAAGGAAAGTGCAGTTTCATGCTCTTGCTATTTTTATGGCTCTTCTAAGAGTTTTTAGCTGCATGTCTTTTAACATTTCTTTCTTTTTATAAAATCGATTGTTTAGTATATTTCGATTTTTGGCTCAAGTATTTAGAAAGGCTTCGCCTTCGCATTTTTTCACTTGCACTCATATTACGTTAATTGCGTATTAAAAAATTTTAAGGTAAGTCTTCTATTACCTTACGCTACGTATATGGTAGTTTTCCCGATGGATACGAAACTACTATCGAGGACGTCCACACGAAAACTCATTATCTCAACGGAAGAGAATTTGCGCTTGAAATTACTGATACTGCTGGACAGGTAAAACAAATCTTTTTTCATTTATGGATAGAGAATCTGCGATAAGAGTAGAATTAAGAGTAACGGTTTTTTCTGCAGTAATTTTCAAAGACGTTTACGTTTCAAGTTATTTTAGCAGGAATATTCTCTGTTTCCTCGCAGTGCTTCAGTAGTGGATGGTTACATTCTTGTTTATGCTATAGATGATAGAAAATCGTAAGTCTTCATGCTTCTTTTTAATTTAATAGTTTATGCAAATAAAGGTCTATTAAAACAGTAGACTTCTGCTATTTTTTTTCTTTTTTGTAGGTTTGAAATTATTCGAACAATTTATGACAAACTTATGGAGAACTACGGAGACAAAAAGTATGTAATTTTTCAAATTTTAAATTTTAATTGGTATAGCATTGTTTAATTATGGCTTTCTTCCCACTTTATTTCTAGCACACCTTTGGTACTAGTTGGGAACAAGCTGGATTTGCAACATAGCGATCGTCGGGTTTCAACAGAGGAAGGCAAAATGCTTGCTGCTACTTGGGGAGCTGCATTTCATGAAACCTCAGCGAAAGATAATACGGTATATGTTCTCATTAATTACGCTTATTTTTCTTGGCAGTGGAATTTTGAATCGAGGTGAATTTTCAAGGTAAAAAGTTCTCAAGTCTAGCTTTATGTTTTATAACTTTCAAGTTGTTAACTCATTTTCTGGTTTTATATGAATAATTTTTCGTGTTTTAAGGCTGTTCAACCAATTTTCGATTCTATATTGCGTGAAATAGAAATAGCAAATGGCAATATGAAGCGTCCTCGTAATGGTTGTGTCATCTCTTAGAATTACATCATGGTTCTGTTGTTGATGCAGTTCGTGTATATTTCAATTTACTCCGTGAATCATTTCTGGGCGTATTCAGGTGTAAAGCTTCGTCTTTTTTTTTTCTTTATTTTAGTGCGACATGGAGATATATTACCAGTTAGTAAACATGCTAAACTTTTCGGCGGTTGGAGAGGATATCACTTTTGCTGTTTTTTTCTAGACCGGCTGATAATAAATTTCAATATAGTAGCACAGTCAAGAAGAGTGAAGCTTGGCATCTGGATGCGTTCAGAAACAGTCTACGAAAGCATCTATCCGCAATTTGAGTCGCCATATATTTTTGGAAGCTTTTTTTATTTCGTCGTGAGGAAATCATTCTTTTTTGGGCAGTTCTGCCTTGAAATAAGTTGTGTTGGTAAACATTTAAAGTCGCTGTTTTCGAAAAGTCGTTTGCGACCCAAATCTTGAGCCAAATAACAATTTATGTTACTACATGCATTTCTTCCTTTACTTGTACAGATAAACTCATGGGTACAGCTACAAATGTATAACGCATTTAGTGAGGTTTTTTTGTATAGGTGCGTAAAATTTTAGGATGTAGGCCAACCTGGAGGAAATGAGTAGAGGAAATGCAAAAAAAAATGCTAGAAATGCATCTTGAAACTGCATCTTTCGATAGTACTGTTTCATAAAACTCCTTTTTGAATGACAGACTGGAGTAACTTTTGCCGAACTAAAAAAGTTTATTTGATCATTTTGCTACAACAAGAGAACTCCTGTAAAGAATTCATGAAATTAATATGAATACGTTTTCGAAAAATAGATGCTGGACTCATGAGTAAATTCTTCGATGAAAAGAAAAAACTGCAGTTCTTGGCGCTGGGATTTGGGAATTGCAAGGCTAGTAGTGTTTTGGTAAGGAGTTTTTAACAAAATGTTTCTTTCAGGGTATCAAGGAAACCAAAATTATGTTCTATCGATAATGATTTATTTCGCATTTTATTTCTTTTTTTCATTTTTTTCTTGCTTCTTAAGTGAAGCAGTAGAAGAAGTGAGAAAAGTCGAAAAATCTTTTTTGATGCTTCTTTTTTTTTTTTTTTTTTTTTTTTTTTTTT